GGCCAGGAGCCCCTAGTAGCGTCCTTGCTCCTAGTAGTAAGGCCAGGGGCCCCTAGTAGTAAGGCCAGGAGCTCCTAGTAGCGTCCTTGCTCCTAGTAGCGATGCCAGGAAGGAGCCCCTAGTAGCGTCCTTGCTCCTAAGAGCGATGCCGGGAAGGAGCCCCCAGTAGCGTCCTTGCTCCTAGTAGCGATGCCAGGAGCCCCTAGTAGCGTCCTTGCTCCTAGTAGCGATGCCAGGAGCCCCTAGTAGCGTCCTTGCTCCTAGTAGCGATGCCAGGAGCCCTTAGTAGCGTCCTTGCTCCTAGTAGCGATGCCAGGAAGGTGTAAGACACCTGCGATTTGGGATCCTAGTCAGATGAGAATGGCCCCTTGGGAGAAGTACCTTCCGGTGAGGGGGCAGCTGCGGAAGGTCTTGCAATTCCACTGTTTTCATGAGAACGACATATGAGCATTTGCATTTGAATCTCCATTCCTTCCGATCAGTGCAATCAGTGGCAACGGTTTGTCACTGTGACCCCAACGTCGCTCTGATCGACCGCAAGGTTTTCCAAGCAGAGATCACCAAAAGGAATCTATCCCAGCTAAGCAGATCGTTGCAGAATATTCCGGATCCATGTCGCACCAAAACCTGACACAAGACTTTCGCGGTGGGGGCCCGAAGATACCTTCAGCAGATCATCCTGAGTAAATCAATCACCTCGACAGGGTTTTGACCTCCAAGAGAGTGGTATGGTGGTGTCAATCTGGAATCAGCTCAATACTTGCGGTTGGCAGTTGGCAGGAGTCATATTGGGAGAAACCACGCTGCCCATGTGATCTTGTTTGTTGGGCCGCGCCCGTGTGCCCGCACAACACGCGTGCCTGCGTGCCTGCGATCCATGCCGCCGACGAGCGTGACATTTCAGGCAGCCCCGGGACCTCGTTTCGACCGGCAGAGCCACGACATTTGGGTTCACCAAATCCTTTTCGGGTTCAGACTGGGATTTGGAAACCGTCTGGACATTTCTGGAAACCTCTCACAATGAGCGTGGTGATTTCTTGCTCGCCCCATCTGTGTGATTATGCCGTGACTGCCCTCGCTCTCGAGGTGACTTGCAAAGATACCAACGTGGGGGATGAAGTCTTTGTGGTTGGCTCGGTGCCAGAGCCGCCTGGCCGAACGGGGGACTGGGCGAATGTCAGGTCCGCAGGGAACTCTGCGAAGCGTCACTGTCTTGGCTCAGTCCAGAGTTCCAGAAAACCGTTGTTTGTAGGTTATTCAATTCATTTTGATCCTCTTTGTCCTCCATGTTGTGCCTTAGTGCTCTGTCCGGTGAAGCTGTCACGGAGCTGGAGGAAGAGGAGCTTCGGCAGATGGGGGAAGCGGGCCACATGATCAAGCACCTGAAACTGCGCCTTGCCGTTTGACTAGGACAATCTGCAGACCTGCCCGAGTCCTTGTCAAGTGCTAATATCGGACTTTCATCCCCCTGATCAAGCAGACGAGAAAGCATTGATCTGTGCATGTTCTGAGAATCGTGTCCGGGACGTTGAGAAGCTCCTCCAGACACCCTTCGATCCCAACAAGCAATTGACAGAGCTCATTCAGGCGAGTGTCCTACTTCACTTGGCAGCTTGCCACGGTCACTTGGAAGTGGTTCGCTTGATGGTTGAGGCCAAAAGTGACACTGAGGCTCGTAATCCGGCTGGCTTCACTCCTTTGCATTTCGCAGCCACAAAAGGCCACTCAGAAGTCGTGCAGATGTTGTTGGAGGCTCGCGCTGACCAAGATGCGGTGAACAAGGATGGCTGGAGCCCTTTGCATGCAGCAGCTGAGTGTGGTCACCGGAAAGTCGTGAGGTTGCTGGTGGATGCTGGGGCCAACAAGGAGCCATTGGCAGTGAAGAACCTACTGGTGGGTATGGGAGGAAAGCCAAATTGGTCTCCTTTGCAGGTGGCAGTAGAGGAGTTGCATTTGACAGTAGTATGGGTTCTGATGATTTCGGGGGCAAAGAAGGATGCTTGGTCTGTTGGAAATTTGTTCATGGCGGCCTATTGCAATATTGGCGGAATCGTGTGCGCCATTTGGTGCATGGATACCTTTTGTTGCATTTTATGCATCATTTGCATTCTCTGCAATGTGATTCGCATCTGACAAATCCATTTGCACAGCTTGTAGGCAAAAAAGGAGAGCATGCACACTGCTTGGGCCTGGAACACACCACCAACAGCTGCGATGGTGGGGCCGCACAGCTCCAAAAGGCGCAGCAAGACTCTTCTGAAAAAAAGATGCTCCATACTTGCTGAAGCACCGCACAGCAGCTGGTGATGAAATGTTTGCTCCGTCTATCTGTCTACCGCAGTGTCACTTGCTTTGTTCTCCTTGTTGGTATACACTTCTAAGATTTGAGGCCCTGCTATTTTTGACCCTTCGTCGGGGTCCGTCCACCCGTCCTCGGACGCCTCTTGAATGGTTTTGATATGTTTTGATCCATCCAACGGTCGGTCGGGACTCCAAGGCTGGGCTCCTGGGAGGTGAAGGGTGGACTGCCGGTGAAGACCAGTGCCGACCGCTTCCCCGTTTGGAGCTCCCAAGAGACGAAGGCGCGGGGAAGCGGGGTCTGCCGCGGGTGGGCAGCCACCGGCAGAGGGAGAGAAGCTATCAATTTCGGGGTGCACGAAAGGGTCAGAAGGCAAGTGTCCAGGGACCAATGGGAAAAGCCATTCAAGCAAGATGGTATTTGCATGAGCTTCAATAGTTTACATGTGAATACCAGTGGTATGGGGGGGCCAGTTCAGGTAGTGGACGACACTTCATAAATGACAGCACCTGGCACTTTGTTGGATTCACCAGTGAGTAGTGTATGACCACCCAGACATAGTGGGCAGACGGTGCAAGATGCGAGAACAGTGGCCATGAAGCTTTTGAATGTGGCTTTGTTCACCAGACAGAATTTTGGATGAGATCTCCTTATGCCCAGCTTGGAAGTCAGTGCGGTACACAGGTGTTTGATGTCAGAAATGGGAAACTCTAGTTGATAAGTCAAGTGATTCTTGATCCTTTGAACATTGATGCTTGACCTCGCCCAATCTTGCTCTTCGCTTTGCCCAGATCTCTGCAGAGAAGATTCTCTTCAAGCGTCCTGGAGTGCGGATGGGGTGAGTCCGGGTGGTTTGAAGCCAGCCGCTAGGGTTTCATATGAGTGTGTTTGGAACTGCTGTAGCGCGGCCTACCATTGAACCATTGGTTGAAAGAAGCTGACAGGAAGACTCAGGAAGACCCGCGGAGGACACCTATTGAAGACGTCAGTCATTTTGTACCTGCGTTTACATCAACCCGGCCAGAGAATCACCCCCGGGGCCCTCCAGTTTGGCCATGGACGTGTGTGTTTGTGTGTCGCTGTTGTCGGAGTTGTCGGACGCGTACCCCAAAGACTGTCAGGGCGTTGGGAATCTTCGCAGACCACCTGCAGGCGACCCATAAGTGTTGAAAGCACTTCATCTCAATGATACCATCTCACAAGCGAAACCCTCACAAAGAGGAACCCCCACGCCGAACAACATCCGTTGGCTGGTGCGAGGTTGCTGCACCAAAACCGGCCACTCTGAGGATTGTCATTGTGGGACCTGGGGGTGTTCGTTGGGAGGGGACGGACAACAAGACCGTGCATCTTGGCGGAAGACTTCGCGGGTAGTAAATGAGGGCTGAGTTGGGCCCCAAGAGCTGAAGACAAGGCGGACGAGGAATTAAGATCACCAACATCCTGGCCTTACTACTAGGAGCAAGAAGCTATTAAGGGCTCCTTGCATCGCTACTAGGAGCAAGGACGCTACTAGGGGCTCCTGGCCTTACTACTAGGAGCAAGGACGCTGGGGCTCCTGGCCTTACTACTAAGAGCAAGGACGCTACTAGGGGCTCCTGGCCTTACTACTAGGAGCAAGGACGCTACTAGGAGCTCCTGGCCGGCTCCTGGCCTTACTACTAGGAGCAAGGACGCTACAAGGGCTCCTGGCCTTACTACTAGTTACTAGGAGCTGCTGAGATGAGACATCATCATTAAGATCACAGAACTTCTTGTGTCCGCAAACGGCACCAAGGCAGCTGTCGGAGGGGATGCTGGTCACGGTGAAGTGTGCCTACAACAGACGCTTGGCAAAGGCAGCCAGGGGCCAGTTCCAAGACAAGGGAATCATGCATACTTTGGTACCATTCAATTTGATTGCTTGGTGGAGGTTCCAGAGTACTTTTTTTGAATCCTTACATACTCCTCATCAATGACCATTCATTCCCAACACAGATTCCATCTGAAGCCTGGTGAAGAAGAATTGTGAGCAATTGGCAGCCAACTATGCAGAGTAAGAATACTTTCCGCTGACAGGGCAGGTGCCAAAAGCATCAAAAAACATAGTGGAAGAAGACTTTGTTGAACCGACCGAGGTAGCAAAGCTGAATGGATCACCAAGCTTCCTCCGGACGGGCTGTGCCCAAACTTCAAACCTGAACAGCATGGCATGCTACGTAGCAAGAATGCGCTTGGCTGAATCTCCAAGAACGCCCAAACGACGGCCTCAAGTTCCCTCAGAGAGTCATGGCATATGACTTTCCCTTTGGGCAGATCATCAGGAGCCTGCTGCAAAGAAGAAGGAGAAAGATCGACCGCCGGAGGAGACGAAGAAGAATGGCTATCCAAGTCCAGAGGCCGAGACGGGATGAGTGTGGAGAGAGTGGAGACGGGGTGGGTGAGACGTTAAGTGACCTGAACAAGGACCCGTCACCTGGGGTACCTATGGAATAGATTTTTTTGGGTTCTTCAACCTCTGTTGGTTTGGGTTCGAAGGGGTTGGAAGGGCGATGTGACTTTCTGAACTTGGACAAACAGACAAGTCACACACACATGAAAGGTTGAAAGTAGGATGCTAACCAGGATGCGTCTTTCGCGCTTGGGGGAAAACACCATTCCGGGCCGAAAAGGCCCTTTTCATCGGTGGGGGGTCCGACCGTTGGAGGGCCGAGTTCATGCGAAGGGTTTCGAGCGAGACAGAGCGCTGGTGGGAGGAACCTCACATCAGATACGGTGTTCGGACCAATTTGGGCACTGTTTGATGTCCTTTACCAGGACGTGCAAGCTGACGTGTCAGTGAGACTTTCTTTCCATCAAAGAACCACCATCTCTGCTTTGGAAGACCTTCTTGAGATCGGGTAGGAAAACACCTTGTCTCAGTGAACTCAGTGAAGTGTCCTCCCTGCCCCAAGGTGTTAACGCTTGGCCGAATCCACTTCCATGTGGGTTGTTTCTTTCAGCATGGCTATGTCAATTTCCTCTATGAAATGAGGGGGGGATAGCCCCTCATATAAAACGGCTAATACCCCCGTCACTGGACGGGTCAGGCGAGTCATTTGATAGTGATTTGAGGTTTTTGTAAGGGTGGTTCACAAAGTCTTTCAGTTTTCAACATCTAAAGATTTAGGCAGTTACTGAGGGGCAGAATTTTGGAACGCAGCGATCAAAAACAGTTACAGTAGTGATGCAGCTATCAAAAATGATATTGAACCTCTCATTTTATAGGACCCTCAAATTTCTACTTGCACAATTTATTCATATTGGGGGGTTACCTATAAAATGAGCTCAAGGACCCCCCCCGTTATTCACACAGCCATCTTTCAGCCGTTTTCGATGCCCGAGTCATCCCTTCATCTGAGATCAAGCGGATCAACCACAAACCTTCTCGTCCTGCGAAAGGATTCCAAAATGGCCCAAAGATCAAGTCTAACAAGAGGTTGAGAGTTCCTCCTAATATGTCTTTGTAGCCTGCTGACGTCCAGAGAACTTCTGAAGCCGCTCCTTTTTCTAAGCCACAGTCCTACTTGGCAGGATGCCAGAGAAGAACCTCTGAAGGAGGTGCAGAGAGAGATGGGCGGAGGTCAATCGATGGTTTGGATTTTCACAGCATTGCGAATAGTTCTGAGACTATTTTTTCCGTGGTTTACTTTCAGACATTCTTGGGTGTGTGAATGCCTATATTCTCTGCCCTCTTTCGTTCCGATCCTGTTTCTTGGTCAAAACAGCAGAGTTAAGGTCATTGTTTTGTGGGTGACTTTGGGGTTGTCCTGGCCCCGCTTCGCCGCTTCGCTTCTCCTTCGCCTCTGCCTTCAACAGGATGGAGCTCCTATGCTGAAATCCCAGTGCCTTGGAAGCTGAGGAGACTGGGTTGGTGGGTCCCCAGAGTCCAACCAATAGGTCGACTGGGTTGGGCACATCCTCCACGTTACGCTCCCTTCGGTCTCCGGGTGAACGGGGCCCAGTGCCATTGGGGTGAACCTGGCTTGGTGCGCGGGGTTCTACCCCAAGAGGGCCCCGTCTGCTTCAAAACCCAGGTCGCGACATTTGTTCCGGCTCTCCAATGGATCGCTGCAGATGGAGATGACCAAGACACCCAGTCTCATGATGATGGACTTGGACGAATTTATGCACGAAGCCGACCCTTGGCCGAGTTTCCAGCATCATCTCCGAGAAACTCTTTGCTGAAACGAAGAAAACCCTGCCAAAAGGAGTCGAGCCGAAACGAGAGGAACACGATACGGCGACTTCGTGGCACGGTTTTGCTGCTGAGGAAGCCGAGGAAGAACATGTGAAGGAGCTTGAAGAGCGGGAACGCCTCAATCAGCAGCAAAGGCGACTCACCTAGCTGTTTGGTTTTGGAGACTTGACTAGTCTCATGTCACTTTGTAGTCCCTGTTTCCTCATCATCAGGTCCTGCGGACCTTACCTTCGTTGTTTTGGCTATACGTCATTCTCTTGGTGTGTGGCCTTTGGTCATTTGTTTGGCCACAAATCCGTTTTTTGGTCCTCTTCTTCCACTCATCGCCCCGTCGGCTTGGAGCCGTCGACGAGGAGGGGAGCGAGTCATGTCAGCACTCCGTACTTCGGCCGTGGGTCGAAACCCGGTTGGCCCGGTTGACCTGGTTGGCCCGGTTGACCTCTGTAGTAGTCACAATAGTCTATTCAGTTTGTTGATTTTCGCTGGTTAAGTAGGGCCCCCCGGTTTTGACGCAGAGCCACATGTAGGAGGGTATGTATTTCAGCCTCGCGATCCGGTCGAGGCGCTTGGCCAGCGGCGTTCTGTTGGAGGACGCGCGCACCTGGGTGCTTTGTCACACCGTGGATCAAAGACGGTGTGAGATGAGATGAAGAACGGTACATGGATCATGATTCATTGATCGATGTATTTCTGGCTGATTTGTTTCGGAAAACTGCATGATTCCTTTGGAGGAGATGAAGAACATCACGAATCACGCGGACGCCTCGCAGACGGTGCTCCTGCAAGGCGGGCGTGGATGGGCCACACAGTGCTGGTAAAGCATGTGTGTGTAAACTGTCAACCATACAAATATATATGTATATAGTAATCACATATATACTAGGCTGAAATGACAAAGGACTTGTGAAAACTACCTCCAAATTGCGGCGGCTAAGTCATGAAGGTTTAGCCTACCCCCCACAAGTATTTATGTCATGAAGCAAAAGCTTGGAAAAACCTCAAAATCAGAGATGCCAGAGGTTGTCACCAAAGATCCTAAAAACAGTTGATTTTATATTGACAAGCATCATGACATACGACTTTGGTATCTAAACAATGAATAAACCATCGAGAGATAGGAATTTGAGAGCAAAAACGCACAAAGGCAGACTTAAATGAGATACTCGTAGTAATGTGTTCTTAATGAGACAGGATTCCTAAGTCCCAATTGGCCTAAGTCATCTCACCCTAATCTTCCAGGAGCATGCCCCCCACCCACCCCCCCCCCCCAAAAAAAAAAAAAAAAAAAAAACTCAGGACCAGGTCAACAAGGCCTATGTCATGAGTGTGTGCCAATGAAATTGCAAATTTAACATTTGTACATGACTTAGGACTTGCCCTGGGAAAGTTGTATGTCATTTCGACCCAATTGGCCTAAGTCATCTCACCCTAGTATATATATATATATGTGTAAAACAGTAATGATATCAGTCACTGTGGGTGTATGTGTGTGTATGTTTGATATACCATGTGCGGTGTGTCATGTGTGGTTAGCAGAGCAATTATGTGCATATACTTCCCCGGCCTTGGGACAGTCGAAAGACGTGTCCAAAAACGGACGCAATTTTGGATATTTTCCGTCTTGGAGGATGGGGTTTGGAAACAACTGGGTCACAAGCCATTCCCAGAATGCAGGATTTTTCCTATCAAAATCTATTTTTGCAGCACTCCTTGGTTTCTCCTCCGCAAAGAACCCAAATCTGTATATGTTTACTGTTTGCACAAGCAACACTCGCTCTTTGTGCAGCTTCCTCCATGGAAAGGGAACCCAAAGGCTCTTGAAACAGGGCGACCCGCAGGTTTCATCTTTTCTCCTTCGGTTCTCCGGTTTGCTCGCTTCGTGTCTCCTCGAGGCTTCAATTGGGAGAGTCATCAAGCGGGCAAAGGAAACTGGTATGGAATCATAGAGTCCAAGGTGCGGTTTCTTCCAGTCGTTTTTTCGGCAGGGGGGAGATGAATGATGGATGAGCTGCGCGTTAGTCAGTGATCATGAGGCAGCGGAGGACTGGCTGGATGTGAGTTGCTCTCAATGTTCAAAGTAATGCCTTGCTTCGCCCCTTACATTGAGCCGTTGTCAGAGTCGAAAGATATGAGCAAGAACTGCCAACATGACATTCTTGTAGCAAAGGTCAACGTTAGTGTCCTTGGGCGACGACTTGACCGTGACTTGAGCGTTCGAAGAAAACGGCATGCCTGCTGCAAGGTAGATACTTTTGCAGAGATGGGAATCACCGACGTCTGGCTGCCGCCCTGCTCCCAGTCTGTGGCACCCCAGGCACTGTGCACGACATGTGGGGCAGGTCGTAGTGCCCATTCTCTTGGGTTTGGTGAGGTTGATTTGGAAGCCTCTCAGGAAATCCTGAAAAGAAGTTTCTTCCCAGATCTGGCGGAAGAAGGGTCACGAAGTTGTTCACACCAGGATCACAGGCTTACGACTGGGTTCTGGTTGTTTGCTCATGGTCGTTCAATTTTGGATCGAACAAGGGCTACTTGCCATCGCAGCTCTTCAACTTGGATGGCTCTGCCTATGGCAAGAAGGCGTGTTTGGTGGGATGGCTTGAAACCTCGGAACGCTTGGTGGTTATATAATGTCCAATTCTTTCCAAATAGGAACCTTCCAAACATTCAAGAGGCCGTGTGGAGGGGGAAAACATGCATTCATGATATCCACCTGGATTTTGCCCAACTTTTCCACTTCAACACCAGGACCAATTGAAAGAGCTGCTCAACAAGATGCACCAGAAGGCTGGCTTTGGGCACTTCCTTCCCCTCAAACGCTTATATAGGTCAAATGAATCTCCTTGAGTAACGCATCGCTCAACAGACAGATGTTTTCCCGCCCGATTGAGTCACACACTCTGAAGAGTTCATCTGAGTTCAAGAGTGCCATGCTTTTCCCGCTCAAGAGCTTGCTGACCATCCATGAAGAGTTCAGGTTGGTCAGTACCAGAATCCCCTTTTTTGGCTCTTGCTACTAGTAGCGATGCCCTTGTTACTGTTACTAGTATCTTCCGTACCATCTGAAGCTTTGGAGTCTTCTCCCCTTCAGGGCTTGCGGGGCATCGCAGATATTGTCATCAACCACCGTTGTGGCGACCAGCAGGCAGGCAGAAGATGGGGGGTTCTTTTCTCATTGAGGCCTTGTTGGACGAGTTTGGATGTCAAACACAAGGATGTGGGTGTGGGATGGTGTGGGTGCTTCCGTTTGAAGAAACTCTGCACCACTGATTCGAAGGGGTCTCCGAATCCCAGTTTAAGTTTCAGTTCTTAAAAGCTTTGGAGAAGCCAACACTGCCAGACCCGCGCCAGGATGAGCATGGCCGGTGGAATGTCTTCACCAACACTGGCATCGAGAGCCGGAAGAGCTTTGCAGGTGTCATGGATTGGCAAGGCGAGAAAGGTTACGGCTATCGCTAGTAGGTTGGAGGCCATTACTACTAGTAGCAAGGACGCTACTAGTAGCTATTTGCTACTAGTAGTAGTGAGTAGCGATGGCCTCCACAAAATAGTGTCCAACCCGGGGGTGCTGCGGAGCTTCGCAGGCTGGGCCATCACCTTGGGCGACAAGTTCTCGGATGGAACCGGAGAGCGGGGCCCTGGGCAGCCCCTTGGCCAACGCGTCGCGCCTCGATACCGGTGTTGGTTCCGTTGAAGGTTGAGCCCCACTGAAGCCTTTTTTGTTTTTTTGTCGCTTTGTGGACATTTCCGGCTACAGATTTGGGTTGACGGGCGGGTCCAAATTTCCAAGCATAGACTGGAACCACACTGGAAACCCTCACCACTGTGTCGATCAAGAGCATCTCGTAAGTTGGGCTGATGACATTCTTTTCAACTTGACTTGACTGTATGAGGTACGACGACAAGTTTGATGCGGCGCCGGACATCGACCACGGCAACAAGAAGGTATCTCAGACTTGTACTTGCTGCGGGATCGGCGGTTATAGGCTATTTTTTGGTTTACAGCACTGCTGATTTTGATGTTTCTATTGAACCTCTACCCTGAACCAGTTCAGTACTACTGTAGCCTATATGTTTCTACTGGAGCCTATTATTAGGTTCAGTAGTTTTGATGTTTCTTGAACCCCTACCCTGGATTTAACAGACCTAGAGGCTGACAGCATCTCTGCCCCGCTTCGCTGCTTTTTCTTCCAAACTGTCTTGCAACTGTTTGGACAAGCTCGTGTCCCTAATCACAGCACAAGCCATTTGTTGCTGATGAATCTCTGTGTGGGTGCATCAAGTTCGATTGGATCCATCCGCTTGAGTCAGATTCGCAGGTGCAGCAGAGCATTTCCGTTTGGCTGCGCTGGTTACGTTTGGATGTGGGTTTCGATGGATGGCGCTTCGACTTCGTCAAAGGCCCTGTCGACTTGCTGTCCATTCCAGCTGCCTTTTAGGTTTTCGATCTGTTTCTCTTTAGTTTGTCCGAGCTCTTCAAGAGCTGGTGGTGGTCAGTTCCAGTTCTAGCATGGCCAACGACTTGGCAAAATCGATGGTGGATTGAAGTGGGAGTGAAAGGAAGTCAGCACTTCCTGCTTTCCAGAATCTAACAACCAGCTTTACCTGACCCTTCACGTCCTCTTTGTGTGCTATGCTGCTGGTGATCCATGGGGTGCTTTTTCTTCTGTTGCTGCGGGATGGTCCATGTCCCGATGTGGAGGCTATGGCGCGGAGTACGTGGGGCTCTACTGCAAGAAGAGCCTGCCTTCCTGGGCAGTTGGTGAACTCTGGCTGGACATGAGGCATTAATACAGGGCTTTGCGCAGAGGAGGGTGTTGAGCATGGGAGGGACACCGGAATATGTTGCTCACAGTGCTGGACTCATTTGACTGACCAAAAATGCCTTGAAAAGCTTATCCTGAGTAAGAGAGAACGGGAAAATAAGAGGCTACTTGTGAAAATGCTATCCAGAATCACTATTGACTATGATCTCTTTGGAACTCGCACATAACAAGTTCTACTTCTGCTTTATTGCATGCAAGGCCACCACTCCTCAAGCAACTTGACCAGTCGGGCACGTGGCACAACGCTGACATTTTTTGTGGTCAGGTACGATGAGAATGGTCTTTGCTATGATCAGAATGAACACAGGCAAATGGATCATGGAAAGAATTGGGAGAACTTTGAGGTGATGTTCTGGTCCGCCAGTCCTCATGTATATTTTCTTTTCAATCTTGTCAGTGATGAAGTTTCTTGAGCACGTGGGCATTGCTTTTATATTTCCTTCGTGATCCACTGGATATCCACCCAAAAGCGAGGCAAAACACCATTAACTGGATCAACGCCACGGACAAAGAGTACCTTGGCCACGGAGTTCCGAGCCGAGCTTCGGTGGGCTGCTGTCCTTGGGCGTCAAAAATCAAGAGCTATGAAATTGGACTCGAGGTGAACACCCTGAATCCTCACTTGACCCAAGGAGCACGGCGTTTGACTTCACCACGAAAGGCATTTTGCAGGAGGGGAGTTGACTGTCAGAGTGGGAGGCCTGAGATCTCTCATAGCATGGCCAGGTCTGACCTTCCAAACCCTCCCAACCCCTGATTTTTGTTGGAGTGCCGGATGAAAAAATCGAACCGCTTCGCTGCGGTGGAAGTCTCGCTCTCCAGGAGGCATGTCGGAATCGCCAATATTGGCGCCTGAAAGACCAAGATGGGAAGCCACCAGGCTGGGTCACCTCGGGTCAAACCAGCTGCCTCTACAGCGAATGACCAGCGAAAGGGTCCCAAACAAGCAGCCAGATGACGAACACATCCGTTTCGAAGACGGAACGCCTGGTGGAGTGTCCTACGGTTCATTTTCGGTCCTTTCAGGCATTGGGTGAATGGAGGATAAGAGCCTCCATGTGGGGCTTTCTTTCAGAACTCCTCCCCAAGCACCTGCCCCAAAACGACCGACCACAAGTGGTCGACGGCATTGTTTTTGTTATTTTTAATGCGAGTAGGGGGAAGACTCAGGAACTTCTCTGAAGAACTGCCCGTGTCTCTTGCTCGACAAGCCTAGCAGCTTTTTGCACCCGCCAGACAGCTTCAGTGCAGGACTTTTGGGTTGGATGCCCAGCCATGCCGTGACCTTCTTGGACAACCACGACACTGGTAGTACCCAAGCCCATTGGCCTGGGAGGCCCAGTGCGACCGAGGCGCAAAAATGGCGCAATGATTTTGCTCTCGGGAAGGTGGAGATCAATAGTTGGCTGAAGAACAAGGCTCAAACAGCCAAAGCCTGGCACTGCAACACCAACATGAGGGGAGATGTCCTACACGAACGGTGGGATCTCTCATCTAAGACCAAGGCCTTTCCCTGGCGACAAAGGTTTTGGTGGGCTACGCTTACATCCTCACACATCCAGGTGGGGCGCCCGTGACCAGAAAGAAAGCACAAACTCTTTCAATTTCAAGCTCTGGAAGAAGACATGCATGCATGAGCCGAATTTAGTCATTGTATACATTCCAATAGATTCATCGTTTGATGCACCCTGAACACAGGTTTGGCCAGAACAAGCAGCACGATGTACCATGCAGCATGCATTCGTCAATGGCAGAATTATATCGTATGATACCATATTATACCAATCAGATAAAGGGATGGTGGTTAACTTTGCTTTTCTCCTAAAGGACGAGACATATTCGTTAATTGCTATGAATCCTTGGAAGACGAATTTGAGCCTTGCAGCGCCGGGTTGTCTTCCAAGGGCCGCCCCCTTTTCCGGGAGAACGACCCATCGTTCGCGACCGAACGACCGGTGCTTCCTGCCGCTTTGGGACGCGGACCGTCTCCAGGAATTCCATGTGTCTTCTGGGATCACGTGTGCGACTGGGGCGAAGACACCCGCTTGCGCATCCAAGCCTTGATCAAGCTTCGGGAAAGGGCCAAGCTGCAGGCGCTGAATCGCCCGGAGAGTGGGCAAACGGAGCGGTTCAGAAAGATGACGCAAGAATGGTCTGAAAGCCCAAATGGAGGTATGTCCGAGGTTTGCTGCGGTGTGCTTCGTATTTTGGAGATCAAATGTGTGCATAACCATATGCAAAAAAGCATCGCTCCATTCGGTGCGAAGGCGTGGCAGTGCCAAATCTGAGCGTTTTTGTTCACTTTGTCGTACCCGCACCTTGGGTCTGGAAGTAAAGAAGATACACGTGCAGCACGGTGTAGGATACGTGTTTAAACCGTACCTGAACGTTCAGGTTTCTTCCCGTGAAAAGAGCGGGGTGTTGGGACGTAGAATGAATGTGGGAGACAGCTTCGCAGGTGGACGCCAGGGTAAACATTCTTTGTGCAGATGCTGAACTCTACATTGCAGAGTGCCTGGTCTAATCATAGTCTTGGGCCGATTTGTGAACAATTAATATGTACAGTACTTGATATGACCATATGGCAGATTTGTGAACAACTGGGAGAGTAACTGTAACCCTTTACACTGTAACTTTACAGTATGATTTACAACTTCTCAAGTCTCAAGTCACAACTTTCTTACTGCCGGTGTCAATGTTACAGAGTGATGTTTCCCAACTTTCGAGATGGTCCAGCCATTCTGAACGATTTCCTTGATGTCACTTTGTGGGGCAACGACTCAGAATCAACATACTGAGTGTTTGGTTTGACTCTGGAATCGTACGTGTAGTGCAAGTTTCTTCTGATTAATCAAGTTAGGTCTTATTCATGCTTATTGACTCAAGTGGATACAGCACAGAACATTTCAATAGCCAGTAGGAATACTATATACATCATGGTACATATTCTAATATACACACAAAACTGAACCTTTGGGATTGTCAATTGTCCTATATTCTACCTACTTGAGAATGACTACGACCTCGAACCTGAGAGGATTCCTGTGATTTGACGTGGAGATGCTCCCCAGGATCGGCGAGCCGCCGGCGCTGCGGGTGGCCTTGGGTCCCCGGCATAGCGAAGTGACCAGCGAGTGGCGGCAAGGAGCGTCTGGCAACGAGTACCGGGTGTGGATCAGCCGCCTGGGCAGCACTGAGCACGTGGTGTCCCAGGCTTTGTCCTGGGGACCAAACGCTGGGATTTCTATCCGAATCTGCAGGTTGGGAAAGCTCGAGGGACCCGTACCCCGAGGTATGCGATGTTTTGGGAGCCACAGCCACTTCTAAGATCTTCCAAAGCCACTTCCATGGACGGGTGGTCTTGGAGGTGTTGTGAGGTGTTTAGGTGCGGGAGGCACCCGCTGGCAGGGCGGGCGCGGGAGCTTTCACTGAAGCAGAGTTTGGTGCGTGTTGGCTTGCTCTTTCAGAATCACGTGAGTGATTCAGAATCACATGCCTGACTTGAAGGAGGAACGATTGCAGTATTTGCTCAGGCTTTTGGGTATTGCATTCATCAGGTACGGTGTTTGTTTCTGTGACGGGGGACAGGTTCCACCAGAAACAACAGATCAGACTGGTTGCCAAAATAGAAGCATCCAAACCTGGTTAAATCATACTTTTTCTGAAATCTATTTGGTGGTTCAACCCTGCCTTGTGCCCTATGCAGGCCATTTGCCCTTCGCTTCCGCCTAGTCATGTCGGTTGAGGAACCAGGTTGGCCATGGCGTCCATTTCGTCTTCTCGTTCCACCGGACCTCCGCCCCTCTCGTCCGCTCTCCGAGACAAAAGCATTGACGTGGAGACCTGAGCCGGGGCCCAGGAGAGGCGTGTGCAGCCGTCGGTGGTCTTGGGGACGGGGGCCAAACATGCACCAGTCACCAGAGATCAATAAGTGTGTGCACAGATTCTAGGCATGCCTGATTCTAGGGAAGACCAAGATAACATAGTGGATCGATGAACGACACCACGTCTTCAGAGGCCTGTGTCACCTGGAAAAACATGCGTCGAGTCACGAAAACACGAAGCACAGCGACTCAGGTCGCTCCTGCGGTGCTTGGGACTCAGGTCCAGGAAGGTGAAGCCACGGGGCTATTTTTCCGACCGCCCCCGTGGTGAACCACTCTTTCTCCTCGGTGGGGGAGGATGGCGTGGCTCTTTGGAGTGGAGATCCGTGCGGTTCGGGTTCACGAGAGAAAGAGGAAGAGACTAGAAAGAATAGAAAGATATAGAAAGCAACTAGTAACTAGTAGCTTCTTGTTCCTAGTAGCGATGGCCTCCACCCTAGTAGCTTCTTGTTCCTAGGGGCTCCGATGGAGACCAAAGCCATTGGATCGGTGCGTCAGTCATGACTATATAGGTGGTTCATTCGGATGGGGTTGAACTGCTCAGGCATATGGCTGATTATTGTTGTAGAGTGCGATTGTTGTCATAATGATGACGAGAATCCCTGGGCTTTTGGTCTTTCATTTTACACAACTCATAGTCATATCGGTGATTCTTATTTGTGCTCGCAGCTCACTCACAGCTCTTTTGATGGGTTTACGATGCACTTTTCCTTTTGGGATCTCCCATACCTATCTTGCCAGCCACGCCGTGAATGGAGTAGCAAAGGCTACAGGCATCCCTTTTTAAGGCCCTCTTTGGGCTCAGATTTCACACTCACTTGTGACAGCTGCAAGCATCCACAATTGTTTAAGATCTGAAGTCGCATCGGCTTCACCCGCCAAGAAACATGCCCGCGCAGCGCCGCAGCGGTCCTGCCTTCACTTCTCATTCGAACATCAACAAACAACAACACTTGTGGATTTCACTCCAATTCAGAAGCCAGGTAATCTGTAGCTTGACTCCCACGTTTGTTGTGGGGCCACACGCAACCGGGATCCGCGAAAATCCGCCAGATCGAGCAGTTGAGCCTGGAGGAGTGCTGTGACTTTGTGTGGAGCCTCACGACACATGGGCCGGTGGCGCTGTGTTGCGCCCCAGCCAGGGCTGGTTGCGCCGGCTTGGGGAGGGAACCTGCAGTCAGGGGCGGAACAGAAGGCCCTAAGGGGAGGGGTCGGAGGAAAGATTTCTGGATTCTGGTCTCCCCAACAGTTCGTTCCATGGAATCGAACTGGAGTCTTCCAACATTATTGTATGCCAGCCAGTGAGAGGATGGGCTTTGTCAAGCCCAGGCCCGAGGGGAAACTTCCTCGAACCCATCCTTTATTGACCAGTTGTTCTCATGGTGAGCATGGAGCAACAACCTTGGTGATCTACTTTGTTTGAGCCCTTCATCGCCAGGTGTTTAACAAGGCCGTTCTTGTGATTCACATGCTCATTGACTTCAAAAGACAATGACTCCAAGAGAAAGACCCCAAATCTGCCACAGATTCTACTGTCTTCATCTTTTTCCACCAAAAAACGTGTGTTTGAATGGCCAGTGCTGGGTCTTTTGACCCGTTTTGGGAGCGGTCGCCCAACATCGCTAAGACCACGTCTAGGTGGCCCAGCTGCAACTGCCCGCAGAGCTTGGGCCAAAGCTCTATGCTGAGCCGCGCTCCCAGTTTGGTTGGACCACTGCGGTGTGTGGGACCATGTTTGTGGGTTCTTGACTTGATGGCAAAGGTCCAATCCTTGCCCCCCCGCCACCCCCCAAGCGCAAGCTTTCACCCCAAGATGGAGAACGGACGTGGGGCCGAGGCTGGAAGCAGAGAATGGCTTGCTCGCAGAGGAATGGGATGTCATGTGCTGACCGTTTTTGGGTGAGAATGGGCATGGTGGCGGGAGCAAGCATCCGGACACAGTTCTGGTCGATCAAAAAGGATCTCAATTTGCTATTCCGTGTTTGTTTTGCACCTTTCTGAAGCTACCTTGCTTTCCTGTGCCAGCATAACCATTTGGCCAATGTCCAAGCTACAGAACTACCACGCCATACTTGGCCTCGTCGTTAAATGGACACGACCAACGAAGCAAGTGTCTTTTTATGTTCTGGCGAAGCGGTTGGAATTCCAGTAGGGGAACCTCCCAACCCTGTTTTTGATCTTCCTCGACGTCTTTGGGGGGGTCTTCTAAATCCCCAGCATTTTTGTGTCGAACCACTCTCCGCGGTGTGTAGGGTGAAGCCAACTCTCCCGACGACCTGGAGTGGTTGGCCGGGGCCCAAGCGGTGAAACCGCTGGGACGGGATGGAATTGGACCCGAAACATGAAGAAGGGCTACAAGAGCATGATGGGGTCACAGGGAAGAGGGCTTTGTGAGTCAAGTGACACTTAGGGACGGTCTTGCCTTCGGAAACCTTTAGAACATGGCAGGGGCTGTCCAATGAGCACAAAGTCGCATTTCAGGCTCTTGTTTCCAGCTTCCTTCCCCAGCTTAAACAGCGCCTTGAATTTTTTCTTGGGTCGGAGGAGGAACCATGTAGTTGAGTTGGTTTCATGTTTGACACCGGACTCAACTTTCACATATGCAGAGCTTGCGCTCCAAAAGTCCCAGCCATCGAAGTACTTCTTGACACTTACCCCAGCCAGCTGTGCTTACTGGTCAACATATCATACTGTATCTATTTGCAGGTTGGAACATGCAGGAACCAATTCTCCATGACCCGTGCCACTCAGCGCGGCCGTGACCATATGCCGAAGCTCGCGCCGCTGAAGCCGCGAGGTGAGCCACTTCGGCCCGAAGGTCGACACTCGGTTCTTGCTCTACTGGCCACAGATGGTACCCGCCTTGAGGCGCCAGAAAAGACATCGTTTGCGAAAACGAACAGGAAGAAGCTGTGTGGGGTCTCGGAATTGAGGAAACGCATTGTGTCTCAGTGTCGCACTAACACACCGTTTTTCAGTGATTGTGATGTGTTTACGCCAGTATAACTGCAAGAATGACACGACATGTCCAAAATTGCCCCGTGTACTTGATTTAACATACTCGAGACATCCAATGTGGCAGTTTGATTGAGAACGTTTCAGGTCTGCAACCAAGCCCTAACTGTGCTTAACTTGAAGTAGAAGCACAGCATCTATTGATCTACTTCTGATCAAGCGCTTCCCTTGCAAACAGCCTGAGGAAAACGAGACAAGCAATCCAAACTTAGGAACACTACGAAACTTACAGAGCAGAAGCATGACCTAAATTCACAGGTTTTGGCACAATGATTGATTGGGTGCGCATCTGAATGATTTGGTCTTCATGAAGCCAAACCAATCAACACTTGGAGCATGAGGAAGGATGAGGAAGGTCAATAAAACACATTGCTTCAGATGCCATGTTTGCCCCATATTGCCTGAATTGAATCACAGCCTGTGAGCACTTTCAGAAATCGTGCGTTGTTTGGCTTTTCCCACAGTTACACGTGCAGGCGCTGTGTGGACTTTGGCTTCGAAGGCAGGCCAAAGATCTCGCCGAGTTTATGAAGAGCCCTGCAACCCTGAAAACCGTGGTTCTTGGGCGAATGAGCTGCCCAGAGACTGGGAGATTGCCAAGAGACTGGATTTTACGGACCCAAAGCAATAGTCCTTCCCTCCCATTGAGGACAGTTTTGTATCAACATGAAAGAGATGGTCATCCACCATCCGCTCATTTCTGAGGTCTTGACTCAGTATGAACCATGAGCTGATTGCATCTGATTGCAGAACTCGTTCCAGAAAGACGCTGTTGCTCGGATGTAGTTCGCAGAACAGAGTTTTTGAGACATCTCATCCATGTCACCACCGATTAGTAGTAACAAGAAGCTAGTAGTAACAAGTGCCACGCTAGTAGTAACAAGTGCCACGCTAGTAGTAACAAGAAGCTTGATATATATATATAACACTCTCTCTCTCTCTCTTCCATCTGAAGATTCGACGGTGTGATTCCACCAGTAGGAGCAAGAAGCTACTAGGTGGAGGCCATAGCTTTTAGGTTGGAGGCCATTACTACTATAGGAACAAGAAGCTACTTAGGTGGTACATTAACGGCCAAACGGCTGAAACTTCGAACTGATTTGGATCGAAGTGACGCACACCCCAGGCGCCCATGGTGCAGCGTGGCGGCCCCAAAGACTGACGGTGTTCGGTGCAGTGAACAGGGCTTCATGCTTCAAAAAGGGAATCGCTGGGTGTGTGGCCATTGCTTCAGTTTTTGGCCTTAACTAGGGGGGAGAACACCTTTTCGATGAAGATAGACTTCAATCGAGGATGAAAACCATATTGGCTCTGGGTCAAAACCGGGGAAGCCTTGCGAAAGACCATCGAACATGAACAGACTTGACTCCTCCTCGTCGGGAGGGGTGAACCCCGGGGCCTCCGGTGCCGAACCGGGCTCGGTCGGGTGACCGCGACCGCCCTCCCGCTGTCCGGTCAAAACGGGTCGGTTGGACCAGCGAAACGAAACGATCCACCGATGAAGTCCATGTGGTGGATGGACCCAATTCCCGTGGTTCGACTCGACTCTGACCCACCTTTCTGGTCCTGAAGTGGCTATTGGTCTTGGTCAAAATGGTGCTTTTTGGTGCCTAGGTGAGCCACCAACTGGGAATTTGATGTTGGCTGGCTGGAAACATGGCATCCATTTGAAGGCTCTAGCGTTCTAGGGCCATCCCCACAACAAAGACATCTTTTTGGGGGCTTTCCGAAAGTGTTCAGCACACGGGATCCACAGCTGTGTGAGGAATGCTGTCAACAATGCCAACAATGCGGTCCAAAATCCAGTTGCTTGTAGATGGATGTAGCGTAATTTCTCGAGACTGAGAACCTCTATAAGAGAACCTCTATATAATCACTGGAGGAATTTGGAGGAATTCAACAGCATCTTGATTTCCAGTTGGAAACACACCTAAACCTAGACCTTCAGACTATCCCTGCCATGTCCTTTTCGCGATGCTAGCACCACTGCGCCAGCACTTCACCCGTGCCAGTTACCCACCCAGCATACCTGGTTGAGCGTCCTTCGCCATGACACCGGTGTTGGTGCTAGACCTCAGTGGCGGAGAGCTGCGCTTGGGATTGACTTCAGCCTTGAAGCCCTACTGTGAGACGAACTGTTGGGCTCGGTCTTGGCCCAAAGGCAGCGAATGCGCGGCTTCGCGAGCGGCGGGTTCGACTGGGCTTGTTCAAGTGGAGAGGGAAGATAAAGGGGGGCTGTTGGGCGACGTGTCTGAGGTTCTTTGCTACAAGGACAGCGGTAAGTTCAAAACGGGTCGCATGCCTGGTTCATTTGGTTGCATGGGTAGTGGAGCTTGGGATGACATGAAGTGACCAGGAACCTCCTTGGAATGCTTGGCAAGCTTTCGGGACTTCGCTGTCCAATGTGGTGCTGAGGCGAATAGGATTTTTCGCGTAGGCCAGTGTGGGAGACATTGATGTTGATCAAGTTCTTGTCTGTGTAGGGTGAGGAACTGTGGCGTGGCGAAAGACGAGTGATGCCCACGAACCTCAGGTGGCCAGTGGGCCTTTGGCCGGGAGGTTTCAGAGCATTTCTCCTACCGGATCTTCCGCCCCACGCGGCGGGGCCTCCTATTGGACCTGGCGCAACAGCGGCAGATTCTGCTGCGCGTGCTCCAGCGCGCACAGCTGGAGCGCAAGGCCGCAGAGATGGCGGTGCTGGCGGTGCTGGCGCCCTTGACGCCGGATGCTTGGACAGCGGAAAGGGGGTATGGTTCATTGGAGAAGGGATGGGCTACTGGCTGCGAACATGTGGTTCAATCCCAGGGTCCCCGATGACAGTTGTTTTGCACTTGTCCCACTCAGCTTAGAGCACACTCTCACATTCCATAAGGAAGTGGTCGTGCAAGAGGTGGTGGTGATGTTGGAGGGCTTGGGTTTCTTGGAGTGCACCTGCATCGAATCCAGCTGCGTGGCCCTCAAGAGTTTGGGCCTGGGCCAGGCTGGCGTGGGGGTGAAATCTTCTAGTTCCGCTTGGCGATCTTTTGGGTGGCATTTCTTTTCTTATAGGATTGTATTGTATAACGGTTCGATGTTCACTCCCAACGGTTCCATGTTCCCCCTCCACTTTGCTCCGACTGTTCCTCATCCTTCCCGGACCTGACGGAGCTGGAGGCGCTGAGGAGCTCGAGGCACCCGTCGCCCTGCTGCACGGTGCTCCAGCTGGGCTTCTCCGGGCTCTTTGCTCAGCCCACCATCGAGGGCAAGGCCATCGGCTCGGCAGGGCGCCGCAGCCCCGTGGGAGGTGGGAAAGAACGCATTTGGAGTGGAAGCAGTGGGACATGGCATTGTGTGATTGGAGTCTAAGTTGATTCAAATCGTCCCATTTGTTCAGTTTCCTCTTCCTCCCAATCGTCTCCTGCCTGTCCCCCCCCCCAACACCTTTGTGGTTGAGGTCGGGTTCTGACCAACTTGCTCCTGGAGACCCTGAAGTTGCGACACTTCGATCTCCGCCATGCGTGGTTGGTGGTCCAGGACATCTTGGAAGCCACCTGCTATGTGCCGATGGAGAGCGACGAAGCCAAGAGGGAGCCCTCAGCCGTCACCTACGTGCTGCCGGATCTTCGCAGAGGATCTCGAGGCTTTGTGGCAGCTGCGAAGGAGGAGAAAGGAGTGGAGGAGAAGAAAGAGAAGGAAGAAAAGGAGGACATGGGATTCAACGGGATCGCAGATGGGATATGATTGGATGTTTTTCTTCCGACGCGGTTTGGACTCACAAACTCGTGGGAATCAGCGCGTATCGTTTTACCCTTTTTGTGAAGTCCCTGGGACCGGCAACTTCAAGAGGAGGCACAGAAGCTGATCTTGGGCTTGGAACGGCTGATGCCAGAGGCCTTCGGGTTCAGAAGAAAGACCCGTTTATGGTTTCAAGCAAATTTGTAGAATTGTAGAAGGAGTCGCTATCAACCACCCCTACTGGGTTTCCGCTACACGTGTCAGGCGCTCTTCCGTCCACAAGACTACGGCATCCCTTGTGCGGGCGTGGCTGGGCCGAAAAGAGGTGTCCAATTGTCGAGCCATACGAGGATTGCGTCCTTGCTCCTAGTAGCGATGCCCTTTGCTCCCTAGTAGCTTCTTGTTCCTAGTAGTAGGCCAGGAGCTGCTAGTAGCGTCCTTGGAAACAAAGACCAAATGGGATGCCTCTTCGATGCTGCGAGCAACTCCTTCGCTGTCGAAGGCCAAAGACCAGGTATACCGAAGGGTTGGTATACCGAACCGAAAAATCTCCGGTTCCCAAACCCCGAACGAAACCTGCAGCTGGAGGAGCTGTGAAACCAACCACCTTCCCTTTCCGGGGGGCTTCAAGCTCGGGAGTGCGAGGTGACCGAGCTGGTGGTGTCCGCCGTGCGGGCGGTGCCGGAGGAGCTGTGGCGACCGCACCTGGGCCGCGTGGTGCTCTGCGGCGGCTTGGCGCGCCTGGAGGGTCTTCTTCCGCGGCTGCAGAGAGAGCTGCGGAAGGAACTGCCGGAGGAGTGGCCAGTGGAGCTGCTGCAGGAGGAGGAGCCTGAGTGGTCCGTGTGGCGAGGTGTGGTGGTTTCGGTGTGGGGGAATTGGGTCGAAAGAATGCAACCGGATTTGGAGGGATTGAAGGACATCAAGTTGTTCAATGACAGGCTGACATTTCACCGGAACTTGGGACCATGTAGCAAATGCAGTCTGGCGGGTTTCGTTCTTAGCCGCATGTCCTTGCCAGGTGCTGTCCAGCATGCCTTGCATGCGGAAGGCCTGTGGAGCAACGAAGGCTCTGGGGAGATCGCCTCGGCGCCAGCCGAGGAGATCGTCTCCAGCCCAGACGCGCCAGTGCCCAAGCCGAAAGCAGATGCGCCAGTGCCCGGGCCGAAAGCTGCAGCAGGCCCCACATTGACCAGAGCGAGGACCAAGCGACCTCAACATGGAGCACTGCCGGTGCCAGGTGTGAAGATGTGCGAAGTGAGAATGGCAGGTCTGGTGACGGGTGGTTGGTCTATCGAATCTCTTCAGAAGCTTAAAATGGTCCCGGTCTGGATGGTGTTTGGGAAAAGATCGACTCTCGGCCCCCCATCCTGCCGGATCAGGCTCCATGTGGCACCACTTCACAGCAAAAGGTCGAATGGTGATGTTCCAAATCGTTCCAAGATGTCCGAACAATGCCAGTCCAGCGACGCGCCTAGGGTTTCTTTTCCAATGGGGTCGCCGACGTCGGCACGGCCGCACGGCCTCGCCAACTCCCGACTCGACTCGCCGAGTGCGGTGTCGACGTCGGGATCGGGAGCACGGCAGGTGCGGAAGACCTGGACGTGCCGCGCAAGCGCGGGAAGCGTGCAGCGGGGAAGAAAGAGGGCGGAGATCATTGTGGAGGGGGGTGGTGGCCATCGGCGGTGCTCCGAGGGGTGCCCCGAGGTCGGCGGAGTCTGGGTGTTTCTTTGGATGTGTCCCACGGGTGATGTCGGAGATTCTACCGATCAAGATTTCTTGGAATTTTCAGAAGTTTCTTGGTCCAGTCCACATGCAAATTCTAGACTCTAGACTCAAGGGATCACAACAACTGATTCGATTCTTCCCTGCTAATTTGTAGGTTTGACAACCCAGACGGATAGAGAAAAGGATACAGGACGAGCAATCATGTTTCACCGATGGTGGAGGATTTTGTCCATCAACAATCAACAATGCCCAAAAGTCTGAAGTCTCAAGGCAAATCCTCTGCCCTACCAAGGCCGCATCCTTCGCAGCCCTCGAAGCCGAAGAGGTCCGGGACTGGCTGAGCAGTAGCAAGCAGTTGCATGTGCCCTTTGTGTTGGCCATGGGATTTTTGGAGACCACATGACCCCCAGTCAAAGCCGTCTGTGCATTGAATCGATCCAGAATGAAAGAAGCAGAGGCCACAGACGCCCGGCTCCGCACGTGTTCTTCGTGAATCTCCGGTGCATGTCGGCTGCCCAGGAAGGACCCCGGAAAGGCTCCCAACGTTGCCAAGTCAATAACTAGCAATAGCTAGACGATTGATACTCATGGGGCAATTTGTAGAAGCGATCTATTTGGCTACAGCACATGAACTGAATTGGTCAGGTCTCCCATGTTGCTTCTTTTGGACTGGCATGGCTGACACCCGAATGCCTCTCACACGAATGCCGCATGCCGACTCCAAGCATTGCTTGGTTCCCTAGGCATCGGAGACGTTGACCTCTGCGATGGCTGAGGTGGGGTCATGGCCAAACATGCACCTGGCGTGAAAAACCAAAGGGGTATCCAAGAAATCCACAAACACCAGCAAAGACGCGGCTCGGTCTAAACTTCAGGATTTGCAGCTCCAAACGGCCTCCCCTGTGATAGGAGCTGCGGGAGACGGCTCCGGTGCCTCGTAGCGAATGGGGTCCATGGCTTAGGGAAACCACGGCAGAGGTAAAAGTCAGTTTCTTCACCAGTTCGTCCAGCTAAAAAAATCAGACTGAACCAGTCCTCAGATTTGGCAGTCTGAGCCAACTGAATTTTGGAGTGCTTTTGAGACTTGGAAAACATCACCGAGGACCGCCCGAGCGCTTTCCTGAGGCTTCGAGCGTCGCCATGGGCCAAAACATTCCGTGGCCACCGCCCGACGACCACCCAGCCGTTGGGGTCTGGGGGCCTTGGTTGGTCTGGATGGTTTGGATGGAGTGGGAGAATTTCCGGACCAGATTTGGGGCCTTTGAGGACTCTTGGAATGTTTTGGAGTTCTTTCTTGGAAGTTTTGCAACCTCTCCACTTGGCATCCAACAGGTCTTGAAGCTGGTTTCTCAGGCTTGAAACCAATGAAGTCAGCACTTTTCCTGGGAAGGACGCCGCCCAAGCGAGCTGCCTAGCCCGTGAATGAATGGTTTGTCCAAGAATACGATGATTTCCGATTTACGACGTGTTGCACCCCAAAGACCTCCACTGCTGACCGCCTTCTTTATACTTCTTGTTTGAGCCACACCGTTTGTTTCTTCAGGTGGACCTCTCCGACGAAGGGCAGCATGTGACACATGGCTTTCTGGCAGCCGCCCGTTTCGGCTCCCAATTTCAGTAGCATCCTGAGCGGAGTAGCATCGCTCGTCGCTTGGGACATAATGCAGCTGCCATGCTTGGTGCCTTGCCTGAAATCCATAGCCCACACATGCTTGCTTTGCAATCTTGGTCCATATTTTCCCTAGCTCTGGAGGCCATTGAAAGGGGCCGTTCAATGACTCAATGACCCCAACATAGCTAGAAACAGGTGTTGGTTTGCTCTGAAACCAAACAACTTTGCGATACCTTTCGCACCATTCCAGCTCCTTTGCTTCAAAGGATCTTCTGTCCTCGGGCCTCAACTTGAAATACGCATGGTGCACACCGCACACCATTCTTCAAGCAGGATGGACTGAGGGCCTAGCAGCCTAGCATCGCATTTCGTAGCTGTAAAGTCTGCGATTCCATTTCTATGAACTCGGGGCCTTGGGCCTTTAAAGGCTTCCAGTAGCAAGAAGCTATCAGGGGCTCCTGGCCTTACTACTAAAAACAAGGACGCTACGATCGGCGGCTCCTCGAGCGCCTCGCCCCAGGTTCGATTCTTCGTGGTGCTCCTCGGCTCTGCCTGGGCCGCGAAGTTGGCCGCCGCACCGGGTCGCCTGCAGCAGGTGCGGCGCAGCGGCGAAAAGGGCGAGTGGAGCCCTCTCCAGAGATCTTCTCAAATCATCCACGGTGGACAGTGGACAATATATGTATGTATACATATGATTTTTGTTTTAAAGATCCATATTAGACTATACAAGAACAATTCAAGGAACTCAAAAGAACTGTGGATGGTCGGAACAACAAAAGCATAAGGCTACTCACCAGTCTAGGAGTAGTCCATTGGTATCACCTGTCCTAAACCTGTAGGGAACAGCTCGGTTTCAGGACCGTTGTTGATACGTCCATGAGGCGAAAGCAGTCAAATATCCACAAGTCTCAAACAAAACCCTTGAGAACCTTCTAAGAAAGGACACCATCCCAGATTGAGAGCGACACCATCATCGATCCCATCACTGGCAGGACACCATTGTGAACCTGCTGGCCTCTTCTGCGGGGCACGGAACCGCTAAGAGCAAGGCTTCAGAGATGGAAGCGATGGTGGCTGAGCGGAAGAAAAACCATGTGTTTCTCTCAAATAGGCATCCGGAGTCCACGAGTCGTGCTCTTTTTACGACTCTGGAGCTTTTCTCTTGGAATCCGTCTTTTGGTGTACCTCCTTTTCAGGGCTTTTTGTGATCCTTCAAAGAGCATATACAATTATACAATGCCTCTACAATTATACAATGCCTTATTTACAATGCTGGATCAAGAGATTCTGATTGCCTCTATAAAATACATATTATATATATACACACATACACACACTATATTCGGACTTCTTTCCTCATGGACTCATGATGAATGACATGGTTGGGCACGCACAACTTGCTCTTGTTGTGATTTATCCGGTTGGCAAAAGTCTCATCACCGACCACTTTGGATGTTTTAAGCACGGCTTCACGGCTTGAGGTGCTGATGCTGGCACAACAGGCCAAGCTCGCTAGGACCAGCTCCAATAAGGCGGGCTGCGGTGGCCACAACTGAGTGTGGCTTGATTTGATTGGATCATTCTTCTCTCCAAATTGGTCGATCCATAATTCTCTCGGGTGAGGGCATGGTGCACCAAAGAACCTCTTGAACAAACTGAGTCGGACCTTTTCGTGGGTCTCTTGTTTGGCACAAAGAAATCACGCTGTGGTCGGAGGGTCGAGTCTGTCAGGCCGAGGGGAACATCACAGAGTTTGTTGGGATGATCAAGAAGGCATGGCCCGGCGTCGGGCTGAAAGCCTGTGATCGAACAAGCAAGTGGGAAGAGATGAGCAAGTGGGATGAGCAAAGCGTTGTTTCGAAAGAAGGGAATGAGGAAAGACGAGAAGTGTCCAGGTGTGAGACAGTACTGTTGTCAGAGTTGATTTTGGTTTCAGCCCCTTGGCAGTGCGAGTTTTGCTTGGCCAGATGCCCTTCTTTGCTTTCAGGAACTGCACAAGATGACAGACAACATCCACGCAGCAGTGAAGACCGTGGACGAGGGCTGCAAGGCTCAGAGCTTCGAGGACAAACGGCGAAAGGAACAGGTCATCTCAGCTCGATCTTGTTTGGGCTAGAAGCAGGAAGAACTTGCCTTTCTTCTTGTTTGTGTAGGAAGGCACAGTTCTTCTCTCACTGGGACACATACACACACATACACTCACACAGCTGGCCTCATGTGCTCGACCGCATGGATGTTCCTTCTGCCGGATGGATGTTCAAAGCGTCGCGTCTTCGACTCGAGGCCTCCTTCTCCAATCTCTCTGCTGGCTGTCCGGTCTACGGCAGCAACACCACCTTTCTCCCCTCAGGCGACCGGTCGTCACCGGGCGTTGGTGTATCGGTGACCGAGTCACCTTGGTGTCGGGTGTTGGATGGTGAGTTGGCATGGTTGACGGACGATGGACCAGAGAGAGGATGTTCAAATGTTCATGCAGAAATGCGGCCCAAGTTGTTGATGAAGGGCTTCCTGGTGGTACGTCATGAGTTGGGCATGTTCTTAGTATAATGTTGGCACATGTTGGCACTAATGGAAGAAGACAACGAAAAAGACACACACACACATGCTCTCTCCGTCCTGGGTCTCGTGTGGGGGGATTCTTTTGGGTCGAAATCGAACGGGTCTTGCGACCGAACGCTGCGCCGGTGCGAGGCTTCAATGGGGACTTCACGCCCTTGCGAGAGGCGGGACGTCGGTCGGTCGGAGGCCTCTCGGTGCCTCTTGGGAGTCGTGGGGAGATCTGCAAGATTCAATTGGGATGGAGGCCATCGCTAACTCTTGGGTATCGTGCTCATTCTCATGGACGCCATCTGCAGAAGATTGGTTTGAGACACTGAAATGGACATGGACCTTTTGGATCTTTACATGGTACCCCACGGTTGTGCCATGTGGACGAAGGATTCACCACTCGCGCCAGGCGCACTCGAGCTGCCGCTCGCAGATCAGCTCTCGAAAACAGGTGGGGCTTTTGCGTGAGTCCAGCGGCAATCCAAAGATTCGGACGGTCTCAGCAAAGCAGAAAAGAGGATCAATAAGCTGTGCCAATCATGGCCAATTTGAAAAACACATGGAAATTCCCATTCTTGAGCCGTACCTCTCCCAGAAGAGGGTGGTTTGGCTTGCAACAAAGTGTACGCAGGACCTTTTGCTGAAACCCATATGTTGGTCCGGGTAGAGTGTTGCAAGCTCCAAAGTCAAGGCGGTGTTGTGTCCGATTTCTTGGCGGTTTTGGGGTCTCCCCGCTGTTGAGACGGTCCATGCCTGGTGGCGATACGGTTGAGACGGAGGATGGAGTTGTATGTGTATGAGCCCCAGATCGCCTGGCACTTCTTTCTGCAGCTTAAGCAGGGCCCCTTCCAGTGGTTTCGATGATAGACCATTTGCTCTCCTCCAATGCCGGGAGTTGGCATATGAGCCCATTCTTGTGATTGTACTGAGTACTGTAGGTAATTATATTTTGGCTTTGCGGTCTTCGAGTTTAGTATGTTATGGTCCCGAATCATGTTGACCTCCTGCAAGTGGAGACAATTTTGGAATGCAGAATGTCTGGACTTGCCAGGAAATGGAGAGCTGCAAGTCCAGCCGGGAAAGCTTGATTTTGCAGGAGCACACCCTCACTACTCAGTTCCGGAGCCACTTGGTGCGAACCAGGACGAACTGCGAACCAGCACCTCCCAACGGATGGTTATTGGTTGGCAGGGTCTATAAACCACTCCAACTGGGTGTTGCTTGGAGTTTGACCCGGTAGCTTCCAGCCGGACCATTTTGGAGAAAGCCAGTGACCGGGGCTTTTCTTCGCGTGGCGAGACACCGTGGGGAGAGACCGTTGATGAGGCATCAACGTCTTCGAGAGTCCGGAGGAGTGTACCGTGAAGGGCACCGACGTCTTGGGTGTCCTGGCACACGCCGGCGCACGTAGCGGCGCACGTCGGTTCCTGTTTCTTATTTTTTTTTCTTTCACAGGAGGCATGGCGTTCAGGTACGCCCGAGGCATTTTTTTCATCCTGACCTTTTTGGATCTTTTTGGTTGTAGAGGTAGCCAGGTAGTTAGTGTAGATGGAGATATTTATTGGACCTAGGTGTTCCACTCCGGATGGCTTTCGGACTCGCTTGGTTCCATCGCCAGCGTTTGGTCAGGTTACCTGGCCTCCATGCGAGACCACTTCGACGGAAAAAAGGCGCCTGAGACCGGTCTGGTCTCGTCCTCCCCGGTGTGGCGCGGTAGCGGGTCTGGTCTCTCAACGGTCAGTGGTTGGGGTCCGCCCCAGGGCCATGGATGGCCGTATACGCTGCCTTTTGCGATTGGATGGTTGATTAAGGGTGAGGGGATACCCCTGAGTGAACCACCAATGGTACCAAAGCCACCCCTCAATTGTTCCCTCACTTCAGGACATCATTGCTGCTTCCGTGTCACACAAACAACACGATTCGTGTCGTTTCTCCATGAGGATTGACCGACTCGTCTCGGTAGGTCTGAGGAACCCTTCCCGCCCTTCGGCACCACATCTCCGAAGAAAAGCTGGTGACACTCGGTTGGTTC